CCAAGTGCTGGAGAGAATAGGAACCACAATAACTCCAGACCTTGGCGGCTGTCAGTATTAAAAGTCTTAGAAAGTCGTTTCTCATTGAGAATACTATCAAATCTCATGCCGATTTTAAAACTTATTCCATACTTCTTTCTTCCAGTATTGATTAGCAGTTATAAATTATATGTATACATACACACAAACATTATTTATACTCAAAATAAGAAACCAAATATATTACTTCTTAGTTAAACGTCTTTTTAAAAATTATTATTACTATTTTTTAGTTGTCAATGGACCTTTATTTTATTTATTTATATGTGGTGCTGAAGATGGAACCCGGTGCCTCACACATGCTAGGCAAGTGCTCTACCACTGAGCCACAACCCTAGCCCCTAAACTGTTTATTTTTATTTTCATGTTATTGCAGTATTGGGGATTGAACTTGGACATTCTATCACTGAGTTACATCCCCAGCCCTTTCTATTTTTAATTTTGAGACAAGGTCTCACTAAACTGCTGAGACTAGCATCCTCAAATTTGTAATCCTCCTGCTTCAGCCTCTGAGTTGCTGGGATTATAGGTGTGTGCCACCATGCTGGTTTATACCAGCATGATATTTAGTATGATAAACTTTGAAATTTTTGAAAAAGAAATATATTAAGAAACATAGTGAGGAGTCCTTTGGAGAGACAAAGCTAGGAACTAAGAAGACTGGGAGATGCATTTTAGCATCCCTCACCCACAACTTTCAGGTGCAGACTTATCTTTGTTATCAGATCTGGTGTGTTATTCAGATTTCTGTTATGGTAACAAAATACCTGAGGCAATAGGTTTATAGAGAGGAAAGGTTTATTTTGGCTTATAGTTTTGGAAGTTTCAATCCATGATTGATTAGTGTTGCTTTGGGCCTGTGATAGGATATCCTGGCCAGAGCATAGAGCAGAGCAAAGCCATTCAATTCACAGCAGGGACTTGAAAGAGAACAAGAGAAAGGGGATGGACTCACAGAATCCCCTTCAAGGGTATGCCCCCAATTACATAAACCTCCCACTATCCCTTACTTCTTAAAGTTTCCCCTACCTTCCAGTAGTGCCACCCTGGGAAACAAGCCTTTAGCACATGGGTTTTGGGGACACATTTAAGATACAAATGATTGCACCTGGATCAATAACTCATTTCACTGAAGAAGTCTCTGACCCTGCTGCCAAGTGGCCAATCTTACCAACGTGAAAGAAAGGCTCGATACCAGAACCAGGGAAACTGAGTCAACAGGCACAGCCCACAGCAGAATGACTGTGGGTGGCTGGAGCAGCCGTGTCTGTGAGGGTCCTTGCTTGCAACAAGCCAAGGAGAATATTCTGGATTATGAGGCTTTCTTTCAGATCAACCATATCTTTATCTCTGGTTTGGAGATGTACGGATCTGCTGACCGCAAAGAAAAGAGGACATCCATCTCCAGCCTGTGAAACACAGACACAGTGGCCACGGCTGGGGAGACACAGTGTGAGCCTTTTGGCTGATGGGGTGTTGAGTGGTCATTAGCTGAACTGAAATGTGGCCAGTTCCACTTTTACAAATATTCACCACATTTCTTTTCCCTATCCTTTTGTCCCCTTGCTCCATTTTTTTTTTTTTTTATTTGACAGAGGATAATTAGGTAGAAGAGAAAGACTGGGATTGAATTCCTTGGAAATATTCTTAGGTCTTTAAAGCAACCTCTGCACTGTCCAATTCCATAAGCACTAGCCACATGCAATTATTCAAATTTGAATTAATAAAAATTACAGAAAATTAAGCACTCAGATCCTAAATCACACTAACCATATTTTTAAAGGAAATAATGTTAATAATTTTTTTCTGTATGTATATTCAATTACAATTGTTTGTAAAATCCATGTTTTTGGTACTAGGGATTGAACCCCTTGTGCATGGTAGGCAAGTGCTCTACCATGAGCTACATCCCAAGCTAGACTAATTGTATTTTGAGTGCTCAATAGCCACATGTATTATCAGCTAGTTATTGTAAAGGACAGATATAGAACACTGTTCTCATGGCAGGATGTTCTAAATTCAATTCTAGGATTTGAGTCCCTTACAAATATTATATAGCTACTTTATTTCTCTTAGTATTCCTGCCTTTTTAAACTAATTTTTGTTTGTCAATAAAATGAAGCTAACAAATTCTTCTTCTAAGAACTGCTGAGAGTTAAATATTAACTAGATAAAGCATATATCCCAGTGCTTGGCATATTATTGTGTTTAATTTGGACACATCATCTGGTTACAACCCTCGAGAATGAATTTATTCAGACCTGAGTGAAAAAAAAATTGTATTTTATTAAAAGTACCAATAGCCAGGTTTTCGGTTATATCTTAGTGGTAGAGCATTTGCCTAGCACGAGGGAGGCCCTGGGTTAGAGACTCAGCACTGGGGGTGGGGTGGGGGGGAGAAGTACCTATACACTGCAAAGCTTTTTGTAACAACCTCCTTAGGAGTCGAACTGTTTCTACAGAAACAAGAAATTCATCATTGCTGATGGAAGCCTTTCTCAGAGTGGTTAAGAAGAGTAAGGCTTCCTTCCCGAGATGCTTTGTGCCTTAAGAGGAAAGAGAAGGAAATGAGAATCCCCTAAGAGTGGTAGCATTTCTAGCCCTAAAATGCATCCTTTTCCTCTCTGAGTGAGTGAAAAAAAAAAAAAAAATCCCATGAGATGAAAAATCTCTGCAAGGTATTTAGGCCATAGGTGTCAACAGAGCCTTAGGTCCAGAGAGGCAAGCTGGCTGCTTTCATGGGAACTGTGTACACACACCAGAGGTAATTACTTTGGGTTACAGCCGCTAACATGATTCTGCAAACTCCCTGCCTGCAAGAGACTGCAACGCCTCAAGAATGGGCCCAAAATTATTACATCTGTGCACTGCACAGACCTACCTCAGCTTCTCCTGCCAGAGGCTCTTTGAGGTCTTTCGTAATTTGCATTCCTTGGGCAAATGGAATTTAAATTCCTTAGGCAAATTTCATCCTGATGGAACACAAAAATGACATGCAAGCCATGATCTCATTGTTTAGGATTTCTACTTTATAATCATTGATGTGTGCCTCAACAGGCAGGTGAGGTAAAGCATTTTGGCTCATTTTTATTTTACTTTCATGAATGCGTCTTTCTATTTGAAGAGCCCTTAAGCATCGTCACGGATATCTCAGTAGCATTTGATGATATTCTTTTATGATGGAAGGGCAGGAGGAGGTATCGCAGAGTTAGAGGACCAGAATTCTGGTTCTGGGCTGCAAATGAAGAAGCCAATAAGAGAAGGGAAAGACATTCACCTCATCATCTTTATCTTGACCTATTTGATTTCTCCTAAATCATCTTAGTAATTGGGTGACAATAACTTTATTTTGGGGGGGACTCTAATGTGGTCATTTTGTTCTAGACCTTCATTCTCCTAGTTCTTCCTAATTCGGATGCGAATGCCATGGTGGATTGGCTCTTGCTAAGAAAAATGCCTCCCAGTTAAGGAAGGATTAGCAAATAGCAGGTGGTTTGAGGTAGTAGGCTGAGCTGGAATCAGAGTTCTAGTTCTTCCAGGTCACGGTACTTGAATTTGTCACTATCTCTGTGAGCCACATTTTGCCCATAGATCAATGAGAACACCCATGCTTCATGGGGTGCATGTGAGGCTCAAGAAAGTGTGTAAAAAGTGGACAAAGGTAGTATGAAGACACATGAATGTCATGAAATCTCACGCAGTCCTACTTCTACACACCCCTAACTAGTGACTTGGGAAAGCAGCAATCTCAGATCATTGGCTTCCTCAAATTCCACTTGTCTCCTCAGCCTTAGAACAAAACTAAACAAAACAACGTATTAAAGAACCCTAGTTATTTCCAACTCATTCCATCTACAAATTGAGAAGAAGGACCTTTTGATTCTAACAATGACCTTGAGCTTTGTCAGGACCTTTAGAGCTCACCCTCCTGAGCACCTAAGAACCTGTCCCACTGCTTGCTGTTTGGCATTATCATTTCTATTTTAGCGTCTGAGGGTGGATTTTAATTGTGCAAGGGCAGGGTGATGCCAGTCTTGCTCATGATTGTCTGCAGCGCTGGGTGTAGTGCGAGGTATGTAGTTGGCGCCAAGCAAATGACTAAATGAGTGAGGTGGATGGTGTGACAAAAGCAATCTAGATCCACATAGGGAGCCTGTGAGAGAATCCAGAATCTCCTCCATCCTGGTAGCCTTGCGTGAGCAATGTCTTAGTAACTTCAAGAGTTTCAGGACTTTTCAAACAAGAAAAGTAGGAGGTATTCTGGCTAAAGACATTTTTATTTTTAAGCAGCTCTGAAGAAACCAGGACTGGAGTCAGAGTTTAAAAAACAAACAAAACACCTTGGTGTGTGTTTAAACTGGGGTTGTTTCTCCCATTCTACTCCTGGCATAATACTATCAAAATAAGACTTCTCTTTTTTCTTTTTTGTACCAGGGATTAAAACCAGAGGCTCTTTACCTCTAAGTCACATCCCCACCCCTTTTTTTATTTTGAGATAGGGTCTTGCTAAATTTCTTAGGGCCTCACTAAGTTGCTGAGGCTGGCTTTGAACTTGCAATCCTCCTGCCTCAGCCTCCCAAGCCACTGGGATTACAGGCGTGCATCACCATGCCCAGCCAAAATAATACTTCTAAGATGGACATCATATTGCTTTAGATTGGTTAAAATTCCAGAACAAAGGATTGGGGGTATAGCTCAGTGTAGACAACTTTCCTGGAATATTCAAGGCCCTGAGTTTAATTCCTAACACTGGGGGAAAAAAGAAAAGAAAAAAAAATCCATTACAAAGAACTCTTTAATTTAGAATTAGTTTGCATAGTATCTCTGTTGGTTTCCTTAGTTTAAATTGTAGGATCCTGCAGGTTGAACAATTTCTTTACAATCTCAAAGTGGCAGTGATGAGCCGCAGTGAGGGAACTGTGATCTTTCCCCTTTGAAACCACAGAAGAAAATTCAACCAATTAACTTTAGCAAATAATAAATTTATTAGGTGCCTCCAAGTACAAAAAACACTGAAAAGCTGCTGTAGAGGGTTAGGAGGTTGTGCAGGAGACGCGCCTGCCCTTGAAGGGCTTACAGTCTAGGCAGTTAGCCACATGAATCAGTTGTGGAGATAGGTGTTAGGCCAGCTAAGTGGGAGTTCTTGAAAATATCCACATCCTTTCGAAATATCCCAAGGAATCCTTTCTATGGGAAGCTCAACAGTGGGGAAGAAGAAACCTTTTGTGGGACAAATTAGTGTAGTGACCTTGACTTTGCTTATGAGCATCTTTCCATTGCTGTTGCTTATTCTCGTAACTTTCTGGGCATCATTTCCTAACTGGACCTTTGTTTGGAGTCACCCTGCTTCCTGAACCTTCTCCAGAGTTTCCTGTTTGTGATTGAGTGTGGCTCAGTTGCAGTTTGGCCTTGGAATGAATTTACAGTCTGATTTTTTTCCTTCAGCCAATCTGTCTTTTAATTTTGGTCAAAGTTGGGTTGCTATGCTTTGCAATCTGTGGTTTGAAGGATGGGAGTAAGATGCAAAAATAAAGTAAAGCAGGCCAGACTTTTCCCTTACTTTAAACATTTAATAGTGCACTTACTGATTATATTCTGTACAGATATAGAGCAAATTATAAACTTCTTCCTTTTATTTATTTTTTTCACTTAGACTGTATTCATGTAAAGTGTATTTACATTAAGGGGGAAAAAGCCTTGAGGTACAAAACCCAAAAGAATATCTGAGGTATAAATACAAGTATATTTTAAATAATAATCTTTGTCATGCTTTACCTATGTCTGAAAGCACAGTGGACAGACATGTGTACATATTTCTTAATAGAATGGTATATACAACATACAATCTTACAAATCTGGAAGCCATACAATTATATCTTTACGAGGAACACTGATATCCAAAATACTCAAATTTTAAAATTCTAATCTGACCCACCCCCCAACTCTTCAAAGAACCTTTGAAATAGTAACACTGACAATGGTAACTAAGTTATAACAAAATAAAAATCCTTCTTACAACTCTCATTCATACATTATTCACTTTTGATCCATACAAAATAAATTCACTAATACTGTCTCTAGAGTCAATCTTTACCATTACAGTAAAACCTGTATAAAGACCACCCTTCCAGAAAACTGTGCTGTATTCTTTCACTGTGACTACTACTTCCCCTTAGGACTAAAATATATTTTGAGGGCATCATAAAAGAAAAGAAAAGGAAATATAGGAAAAACAAACAAAACAAAAGCCAAGAAACCAGAAAAACCTATTTGCTGATAAGAACAAAACCAATTAATAAAAATGTGCAGCTTTCAGGAATGCTGTTAACAACCACCAAAAAAGGAAAAAAGAAAAAAAAAAAAGGCTTTTGTGCCTGGGTTAAACTTACAGGAATTTCCTTGGGACGGTTTCCCATGTTCTCATGCATAGTGTCTCAAAGAGTTTGTGCTATACACATGAAACTGCAAAGAACTGTAACAGGTTTTAAAAAAAAAAAAAGTTTTGATGCTCGATTTAGGAGTAAATGGAGTGTTTAGTTTTTACCTCTCTTAAAAAGATAAAAACAAACAAAACCCCCCTGTGCCTTGGAGCCAATAAGGTCAGGGGAAGGGGATTATTGTTCCTGAAGTCATCTTTATTGGTTAAAACTACATCCCTGTTTGCAATCAGGTCTAAAAACAAACTGCATTTGCAACGAGTGTTACAGTGAACCTGCAATGACTTCTAAAGTAAAGAAGAAGTGGTGGATAAGGAATATGCTTACCAACCTGGAAAAGAAAAAATGGACAAGTGTTTGTTGGGTCTCCTTTCTGGATGGATCCATGGGTAGTCAACTATTCTAGGTTAAACTGAACCTGCTGCATCGACATCCTTCCTGGAGGCATCTCAGTGTGCCAGACACTGCATTCCAACGTAGACATCTATGCCACTCAACCAGTGACAAACACACATTCACACTCCTCTGTGCAAACCTTTCTTTGCTCATCTCAGTGAGAAAACATGTCCACAAGTACCAACTATTCCAGTGGATACACCAGTCCCTCGACATACTGCAAATCAATGACATAGGTAACATACACCGATATCAGAGAATGAAATATCTTCATTGTCTTCCATAATGTATTTAAAGAGTTTTGCTTCTCAGAAGCAATTTGAATTAGAATACAAGAACTTTTTTTTTTCTTTTTTTATATGCACAGTCTTATATATTCCAGTCAAGGTCTCCAGAATAGACCTTAAACAAACAGGAAGCAGCTTTAAAAATGTATCAAATTGCTACAGTCACTTTCTATACTCTGACTTGTATTTGCTTCAGGATCAGACACACACTGATTCTTCCAAGGACTGGCAAGGTTCTGGAAACAATCACGCAGGTGGTGGACACAGTTGCTTTGCTTCAGTAATCACCTAGATTTGGTATCCTTGGTTTCAGTGCTCTGATTAATGAAGGAGTCTCGAATCTTTACCACTTCAGCTGCACACAAATGTCCAAAAGATTTTGTGTACCATTCTGGCATGTGACCCCTAGTAAAGAAAGGAAAAGCCAATGATTTAGTTGGAAAACACTGAAATAAGATGAAAGCAATCCCAAATACACATTCATTTCTTTCTTTTCCTTTTTTCCTCTCCCTTATGCTAGCGCTGGAGATGGAACCCAAGGTCTTACACAGACTAGGCAAGTACTCTGTACCACTTAGCAACACCCCTAGTACCACTTCCATTTCTTGATGGACCAAATGTGTAGGTAAAGATTACTTATTTGCTGGGCGCAGTGGCACACGCCTGTAATCCCAGCAGCTAAGGAGGTGAGGCAGGAGGATCACAAGTTCAAAGCCAGCCTCAGCAATGGTGAGGTGCTAAGCAACCCTGTCTCTAAATAAAAATACAAAATAGGGCTGGGGATATGGCTCTGTGTTTGAGTGAGGCCAAGTTCAATTCCCAGTATCCAAAAAAAAAAAAAAACAAAAAAAAAAAAACACCCCAAAACCATTTTTTAATCCCCAGGCAATTTCCTGGGATATTCATTGCACATTTGGAACCAAAGTTTTCTAAGGAACAAAACATAGAACATAGATATTGAGTGAAACTGCTTAAGAAATGCTTCGGCTTACATCATGGAAAGAGATACAGATATCTGAAGAACTAGTGAGATGTAAATATTTCAAAGGAGAATTTAGTTAACATGAGAGATATTTTAGAGTTTTCAGAACTTCATTTGTTTGGTCTGTTCTTTTCTATCTCACTCATTTTCTATACAGCCTAAACTCATTTTTTTTTGGGGGGGGGGTGGTGGTGCTGGGGATTGAACCCAGGGCCTTGTGCATACGAGGCAAGTACTCTACTGACTGAGCTATATCTCCAGCTCTCTCTCATTTAATGATATGATTACACATTCATTTTTGGCACAGAGTGTAGGCCTAATCAATTACTAAAAATGCTCTTCATACTATTCAAATGCCTTTGAATATAAAATGAGAAATGTCTGCTTGATGGTTGAAACATAAAATATATAATTTCCTGTGGGCATTAAATTCACTGTAGAACCACCAAACTTGTGTTGCTTTAAGGCCACATTTTCTAAGGAATCCATATTAGGAAGTGGAGGTACCCAATGACCAGCAAACACCAATGTGTTACTTCATGATGTCACCAAGATACCACAGTGTGGTCATTTAATTCATTTTTTCGCATCAGACAACAAGTCTAATTCTTCCTCAGGCCCTCACTGTGTCCCAAAAGTCAGAGTCAGACATACCTTAAATCAGCTCGGCACATGTAAGTGAGTTTGGATTTTCCTGACCCGCAGGGTTCAATTAAATATCTGGACAGAAGCACGTTGACCCTCACGCCTGCCACCGGGGCTCGGTCGTGATCCACAGAGGTGAGTAGTAGGGCACAAGCTCCTTTGGGTAAATTTGTCCTCCAGGTTCTGTGGAGACAAAACCAGAGGGAGTGAGAAAGGGATTTCCTGGAAGCCACACTGAAAATGTGGCATCACCCAGAAAGGAGGAGGGGCCAGGCTCAGTGCCATGTATGACCCACGCCTGGGTTCCTGGCATCCTCTAAACTATTGGACATAGACTCTGGGATGAGTAACTCTGTACAGCACGACGTCCACTGAGAATATATAAGCTCAGACTTGGAAAAGATGGGCCAATGGGAAGTGGAGCTAAAAGCCATTTTTTCCATTTTACAAAAAGCCTTCAAATGTGGACATCCAAATGAGCACCGCTTCTGTTTGAAAAGTTCTGGACAAATGATGTGACATTTCCTCAGAGATTTTTCGAATTCTTCTTTCAGCAATGTCTCCAGAGAATTTATGAATTACACATAAATCAGCCTTAACCACATCTCACTTGGGACTCGAATGTTATTTCCTGGCTTATTCCTTCTCTAGCTGTTTCTAACCAGAAAAATCTACCCTAAAAGGGGCAAAAATCTGTTGCTATGAAAAAGCATATTCATCTGAATATGCCTTTCTGATGAATACACAGCTGGACTAGATGTAGACAGATTTCTGTATTTGGAAGTCTCGCCATTTTTCTGAGGCCTGTGGTTCATTTTGAACCGTGTGACTTTCTTGTAGGACTCTACAACACATAGGCTTGGTTTTGATATTTAGCTGCCTATGCCACAGCGATCTGTTTGGCAGATCTCACCTCAACACCACGTAGTCCCGAGCCGGGTGGGGTGCCATACTGTTTTGGACATACTGGTAGATTTCAGTCTGGCTGTCCAGGATTTCGATTACTTTTGAATCCAGCAAGTCGACATCCCAGAGGTGCTGCTCTTTCAGTAGGCGCTTTAAGATCTCCTCAGGCAGAGCAGGGACTTCGATGGTTGATCTCCAAAGCCTCAGAGGGGGTCCTTCACTCACCTGAAAAGAGGATGCGTATTTCAGAGCTAAGAGAGCCATACACAGCTTGGCTGAGAAAGCAAATTGTGAATGGAGGGTCCGGTCTTGTGTTCAGAGGCTAATAAATCTATGACAGTAATAGGTTGCTGTCTTTGAGTATATTCAGGATCAGGCCTGAAAGCAAACGAAATAGCTGGTGTCGACTCTGGTCTAAATCATGATGTTTATTTTTCTGGTACCTGTATTAGGGTATATGTAAGATCAACCATCATCATACCCCAAAGCCTGTATAGCTATATGGATTACTCTCTTGTTTATTTATACCGAAGGTGGTAGAGATAGTGTTAGCAAATACCACTATGGACCTATCATACCACACAGGATGCCCAAAGTATAGTAACTGAGAACAGACGACGGTACATGGAGATGCTGACTGGATTATGGGAAAATCTAAATATTCTAAAACATTTCTTTAAAACCTAGCACCAGTAATAAAACACTCCAGGAAACTTTAGTGTGATTCCATGGAACCTAAAGGATTTATTTCATTAGAAATGGACTGAAATCCTCTCTAGTGTTCATTAGTCCTTGTGTGATGGTCTCCTCATCAGCTCAGGGAGTCTGGGCTACAGATTGTCATGGATTACCGCTGGCCCAAGAATCTTATCTCTGATGAACCCAAGTCCTGACTGCAGGATTTCAGAGCAGCCAAGAGGGAGAAGCCTACCTTCTTGTAGGACAGCTCGGCCTGCTCAGAAGTCGAGTAGCTGACCCAGCCTTTAAACTTCTCTTTGACCTCCTTATACAGGCCATCCACACAGTCCTGGAGGAAGTGTTTGTAGTCGGCCGATTCATCGTTACTCAGATGTCCCAGTGCCTCCAGTGTGAGGGGCTTCAGCTCTTGTTCGGTATAGGAATTACGACACCGGCTCATTTCCTCAGGAACCTGGGAAGGACACGAGAGACACAAGGTCGAGACTCCACCAGGGCTCCTCCTCAGCACCCATCAGTGGGAGCACACGGGAGAATCAACAGCTGGGGTCCTCAAGGCAGTGTAGGCAGCCCTGTCCCCATTTCCAACAGAAGGCAGGTAGTCCCTCTGACTTTATGTGATGTCACAAGGAGACAGACAGATCACCTTGACAGATATGTCTAAAACACGTATTCCTGTGTAAGATATACGTGTTTTAGACATATCTGTGAAGGTGTACTAAAATTGGGCTTAACTGAGCCACTGAGCAGGTAGGTGGCTCAGATACAGAATTTTAGTTTCAGATAATTGGCTGCTTTTGTTTTTTAAGTAAAGGGGTATGGAGGTAGGCCATTTCATGAAACATAATTAACTCTAATGAGTGTTTACATAAATATAGAATTAAGACATTATCAGGTCACACACACACACACACACACACACACACTATTCTCCAGCTGTGGAAAAGGATGTTTTCCTAAGACATGAACAAAATATCAAGCCAACCATTTGCCAAACACTTTTTGTCCCCATTCGCGTCATCCTAACACAGGAGCCAACCTTCCCAACTCCTTACCTGGAAAAGCTTCTTGCACTCAGCAATCATATGGGCCAGCCCTTGAGTGGCTGCTAGGTTTTCATTCAGATCTTTCTGATCTGGTTTGCCCAAACTCTGTTTTCTTTGCATTACCCTGGATAAAAGAAATAAAGGGAGGGAAATGAGTCCAATATTTATATATTGGTAATCAATGTATTATTCATGGAAACTCAAAGGAGGGAAAAAAAAAAAAAACATTTTCCTGGAACCTATTTATCACGAAGTGGTTCAATAGAGCTTTTACTTTGTTTACCAGAATTTCTCAGAGTTTTATCAACAACACACGCTAGAGATATGTTTTGCATGAAATCCAGGATATTTAAAGCCACTTTGTTAAATAGGATTCTGTCTTAAGAGGAACAGCTGCTAAGGGCTGTGGTCCTGCTGGGGAGTTAGCCAGCTTCCGGAGGGTGTGGGGTGGGGGCCCTGGGAGCTGGGGTAAATGGTTTCAGTATTCTTACCATTTAAATAAACAGGATACCCTCCACAGGTGAGGGATAAACCTATTCTTTCCCAGAGGTGTTGTCTTTCTCTTATCTGATCTCTCTCTTCTACTCACCTCTAGTTCTTTATCCCATTAAAGTTGGAATGCCCCAGCAAACTTTCGGAACTAGTTAAAAAGGATATTTAAGCATTGTATGGCTTTTAGGAACAAAGCTAACTTCCACTAGAACAGCTAGGCCCCAGGTCTCCAGCTAGGAAATAACTCTTCAGGTTCCTTTAGAAAAGGATCTGCAGGATACATTTGGTATGGGGGTGGGGGGAGTTTGCAGTAAGTCCTGTTAGTCACTCTCTCAGACCCTCCAATAAGAAGGTATTCATATGAAAATGCAGAGGCTAGGACTGGCTCTGCTATTTCTTCCTGTCAGGCGTGGTCAAGCTACTTACTGAACTAAGCTTTCTCTAAGCCTTACTTTCCTCCTGTGAAAAAGATATTTGCAGAATCTTTACCTCCTGTGATTGTTATGAGGAATAAATGAGCCGATCAATGGGAAGAGAAGGGTCCTGTGCCCAGTACAGAATAAGCACCTGGCCTTTATTATTTTTCAGATTCCTTGACTTTTTCTCCACTTTTCATCTTGTGTAAACGCATTCTATGCAGAAATTTTACAAACGACTGGCTTAGGCCAAATCCTGAGTAGAAGCACCTTTGAAGCTTTAAGACCAGGCTGTTAAGACCAGGCTGTTTCAACTTTGGGCAGAGGCTGGAAGTTTGGCTTGCTTGACCACGCAGGGAAAAGGCAGCAGGAATCATCCACCCAGTTTTTTAAGACTTGTAAATCGGTATTGTTCTTTGTTGGCACAAATAGGATGATGACACTATTATTAGACTTGCCCCCCATTACTGGCTGGGGCAAGGCAAGACTCAAAACCTAGTTGTTACTAGGCTGTCTATAAAAGTCATACTTTCTAGAAAGTTCTGAGAGGAAAAAAGGCAGAAGTACAGGGGAACCTTGTGGCTGTAAATGAAGGAAGTCTCACTCATTTTGTTTGGTTCAGGTAAGAAGCCAACAGGAGTACAGTGGCAGCCCTATAAGGAAAGGCCAGCTGCCTCCGTGGAAGGACAGAGCCCCCGTGTGCACCTCTCATCTGACCTGTACCTTGGAGAAGAATTCTCTCTCTTCAGGGTGTTGAGGTGGAAGAGAGAAGGCGCTAAGCACACAGCCAGGTTGGTCGGAGTCATCTGGTTTTCTTTTACAGCCGCTGTGACATCACTCAAGAAGTAAAGAAGCGTCTGGAGAACCTCCCGGTTCTCATCAGGCAGGAGCATAATGGCAGCCTTGATAGCCTGGAGGCGCTGGTCTTTGGGTACGTCTGCGAGGTACAAGAATTTTCCTCAAGCTCAGTGATTTTCCATGTATGTGGCAAGGAAATGTCCCAAAGCAAACATCAGCATCAAATACTGAACAAGCACTTGCAGAAAGTGCACTACAGGTTAATAGGGAAGAAATTATGGACTGCTACCAGTCACCAGCGTCACTACCCTCAGGTATTTCCTGCCTTGTGGAGGAGTTAAAAAATTTTAAACACTCATGATACCAATAATACTCCTAAATCTACCTCAGACTTCAGCTCCGGATAATGCTCTTCTTTTAGTTTAGAGAACAAATTTTTTTTTTCCTGAATACTTTCTAATAATCCCTAATTTACTATCTCAATTACTGAGATCATTATACACTTAAACATAAGTTTCAATGAAAAGTCTTATCTAAGCCTTGATTATAAAAGATTGAGAATCTCTGGGGACTGCTATAATTTTAAGTGATTTGCTCATTCTCAAAATGGGGAAAATTGTTAAAATAGTCAGTCGACTTAAACAATAGATAGATTTAACCAGTAATTTTTTCCTTGAGTTTTAGAAACCATACCGAGAAGCTATTATAGAAATGCACACGATTATTCAAATAATTAAAAATGCAAATGAATCCATAAAATAATCTGCATGTAGAAAATGCTGAACTCAACTTTTAGGTCTTCTTTTTTAGACAGACCTTTTTTAAAAGCATGTAGTGGAAAAATTAAGTCACTCAAATGTAGCGGCCATAGGACAAACTTATTAAACAGCTCCATGGTTACAATACATAACAAATACCTTGGTGGGGAAAATGTGACCTGTGTTTTCATAAACTATGAAAGGATGAAACAAATAATGAAATAATCCAGAGCAGCTCCATTTCTCATAAAATGAAGTCCAATGCTCCAGTTCTAAGGACAATTTCAGCACCAAGAGAAGCTGCTTTGAAATCACACTGCTGTAATACCATCCTGAGCCAAGAAAAACACAAGGCTGTAAAAGCTATAATCCTGATCTTGATCATTAATTTCGACAACTGTTTGCTTTAAGCTTTGCTTAAAAGTGAGAAGAGCATGGGTATTGTTTTCTCAAGTATTTCTGGCAGGGATTGTGATGAATAACAGAAAAAGATTATTTATTCATTTTACAGTGTGATAAAACACAAAGACACCTGTGCAATTTTAAATACAACAGACCTGCTAGAAAGATATGAAACAATTGAAAATTTCATTAGACAAGGCCAAGAGAGAGGGAAGGGAGAGGGGCCGAGAGAGAAAGAAAGAGAGAGAGAGAGAGAGAGAGAGAGAGAGAGAGAGAGAGATAGAGAGAGAGAGAAAGCTAGATAGATATCTTGGTACCTGCTCTTTAACTAAGCATCTTAGATAACATTGCTCTAGAGAAAAATAAAGGGAGCTGGATCAGAATATAAAAATATATAACTGCTTCAGCAATTAGAGACCAATGAGAAGAGAAATTTATTTCTCATTAATCAATAAGTATATAGGAACTAGTTCCACAAACAAGGAGGCAAGGAAGAAACTGATGACATGTGTTTCCAAGAGGTCACACAAAGACAAGAACAAGGCCAAAGACAAGTTCAGTTGGCCCCATGTCCCTCCGTGCCAAGTAACCTCAAAGTCCAAGAACACTTACATTGGTAGATCTGTAGAAAGGTTTCCGAGAGTTTGTTTGTCATGAGTGGCTCAGGAAGATCTCGAAAATACTGCTTCAACATGTCTGCCACATCATAAGCAGACTGTCCTTCATAGTTGACACAATCCGAGGCACTCTCATTCATCTGGCGCAGAGCCTGAATCCGGGATTTGACACCTGATTTTCTGAAGAGCCCGACCTTTCGGAAGAAAAACATTCCATGTTGGGATGGAAGCAGTATCTCCATTACAAAACTAGGAGAAACGTGCGGCTGAGCCCCCAGGACGAAGTGGGATCCACAAGTAGTGGTCCTCACCTGATCCAGACAATGGTTGCGGAGGTAGCGCATGGCCTGCTGGATGCTCTGAGGCAGGGGTTGTCCTGTACGCTGCACGTTGACCGTGAGGGGGACCCCGAACACGCTCCGGTCCTTGTAGTCTGGAACCTTGATTCTTTTCATGAACTTGGGCACAGCCCTGTTTAAAGAACATGGTGCGAAGGGGTGCGTTTACTTTTCTGTCTATACTTGTCCTCCTCTACAGATAAACCCTGTGGTCCCTAGATCTTTGCCAATATGGTGACTGTTTAAATTTGCATGAAATAAAGCAACCCATTCAGTTCCTCAGTTGTACTAGCCACATTTCAAGTGCTCACTGGACATTTGTTGGTAGTCGATACTGTTTTGTTTTATTTATTTTTTTGGTACTGGGGATTGAATCCAGAGGTGCTTAACCACTGACTGATATCCCCAGTTCCGTTTTTAAAAAAATATTTTATTTAGAGACAGGGTCTCTCTGAGTTGCTTAGGGCCTCAGTTGCTGAGGCTGGCTTTGAACTCATGATCCTCCTGCCTCAGCCTCCTGAGCTGTTGGGATTATAGGCAAGTGCCATCATGCCTGGCCCAGTAGCTGCTATTTTAGAATGTGAAAATCATTTAACTTCCTACCATTATTGACAGTTTCACTGGACAATGTTGTTGTACGTATTTTCAGAGCTGGGGTTAAAAGGCCTGGTCACATCTCTTTTGTTGGGGATTGTCCTTCCATTGTTAATCTTGAGAACCAAGGTCTATAGTCTTAAGGAAACCAATGGACTTCCTTATAAGATGGCAGTACAGGAAGAAATAGAAGCAGAAAACATGTTGATACCCTAACTAGATGCTTCTGATAAAGTTTGAAAACACGAGCTTCCACTTGTCCTGAAAAGGGTAAGAATCCCCTTTGAGTTCCTGATGAGATCCAAAGTAGTTAAGGTAAAAAGATTTAGGAAATATTGCATGAAAAAAAAGAGCAAAGACATGAAGTTGGTATAATATAATGAGCATCAACTCCAGAGCTCAACAGTGAAAGACCTGAATTCAAAATAAATTCTCTTAATTGATGACCCCAGAGTTATATCTTGCAGTTTCTAAGGAAAGATAGAAAAGGAAGAATGGGGGTTTTGTGAGCCTCCCCCAGGTTTCCTGAAGTCCTGAAACTAGGTCCACCCCCAGCGGCACATGCATCACCAGGAAACCCATGTTGTGCATTTAAGACTGTCACGCAGGCATTTGAGCTCTACAAATGACCCCTCTGAATGAGACAAGTAAGACAAGGCCAAACAGGAAAGTAACTCTGGGCAGAATTTCTCCCTAATGCACGGATCCACAATGCCAGGCTTTTACGTTAAGGTTTTGACTTGCTGGAAAAACTGACCAGAACTTGAGAAATATTATAGACTTTGAGATTCCTGAGGGTTTGGTGGGAAGGGGATGGGCAACTCAGCAAGGGGAATCTAAAATATGCAGTTTTAAATAGCCAGCAAGGAAAATATTACTCTAAGCACACAGGAATACTGCAGAAGACCAACTGCTTCAACATTTGAGTGCTTACCAATGGCCACGACACGTTACTGTTTATAGCTCCAGGAAAGGTAAAGCTAAGGAGCAGAGCTGAGTTGGTATTTCCATACAGTTAAATATACAGTATCACGGCTAGAAGAGTGCATAATACTCGCTTTGTCGGGGGAGAAAAGCCTGGCTGGGGAATGTGGAAAGAACACATTACGCTCCCCACTGAGAATCTGAAGCATGTGGGGATAAACTGGTCAATACTTATTTCTGTCATTCAGAACAAACAACTTCTGTATTTAGCAAGGCTCACATAATAACGGCCTTTGCACAGGAGGGGCTTTGATGCTGCAGCTAAATTCACTGTGCATCCAGAGGAGGGTGGAGCTGGAGGGAGCAAGACCAAGCTACCTGGCTTTGCAGATTCTCCCAAGTGACTTTGATCTGCCACAGAGGGCTCCAATGACATGGGCTGCTTCTCTGTTTTGATAACAACTGAATAATAAACACTTTGATGAGTGAAAAGACTAAGGACACTCAGCTGGCAATGCAAAATAACACTGAGATGTCAACGCAGAGGCAGTTCTGGGTTTTGCACTAAGAGTAGAAAAATCAGTGTGTACAGACTAGGTCACATCCATGATCCCTCCAATCTAACAATTTACATCTCAAGTTGGACACACCTAAGGCTAGATTTTCAAAAGTAACTACAAAGAACTCATCTAATACATTTCGTCTTTATTTATGCATTCGCCTATAGCATTTTGTAGTGCATTCTCAAAAATTTATTATTCACTGCTTGAGCATCTTTGCTGGGAAAAAAATAACCTTAACACTTGAACACAGGTAGATCTTTCAGTGATGCTGCAAATACTCATATCAAAAATAATTTTTAGGGCTAGGGATGTAGCTCAATGGGAGATAGCATGCTGAGCATGTATGAAACCCTGGGCTTAATCCCCAGCTCATCAAAACAAACAAGATTTCTAAAAACATGCATAAATAGGATTACAAGGACAGGCAATGTACATCAAGCATTTCCAAGATGATCTCATAATATCTTACCATTTCTTTCCTTCCTTCTATAGGTATGACATAATAATGTACATGTATTTACTTATAGTGGGTTATTCCTACCACTGGAAAGGAGGCAGCAATACCACGTGATGTGAGAGTAATACATTCTCACCCCCATCAACTGGCAATTTGCCACTCCAAGAGCTGACAATGCAATCTGCCAGCCCTGCTGATAATTCCTTAAAACTCTGATGCCTTCAGCTGTCTTGAATGTGATCTCGAGAATGCAGAGACCAGGCTGGCTCTGGAAGAGTGCTTGACTTGCATGCCTGAGACCTTGGGTTTGATCTCCGGCATCACAAAACAAACAAGCCAAGAACAAAATGCAGAGACTGCATGACACACTAAAGATATTAACAAAGAACAGAACTAACTACCATGTGCTTACTGTGGGGATGGCCTCAAGGAGTTGACTGAAAAACATCACTTGAAGTTACGGTTTAAGTTCTTACCAGCTAAAACCATGCTTGTTAGAAGGTGTGTACTTCTCCAGCAGGGCTGTCAACTTGAGAAGCGAGTATTTCTGCAGTAGGTTCATCTGGGCCACAGATTGGCAGTTAATCTGCAGAGATACAGAGTTTAGGCTTGGCCGATGGGAGCTCTGGAAACTGTGCCATCTCAGTCTGTGCCTGGAAAAGAATGGGGCAGGGTGAGTGAGCACAAAGGTAGATGCAGAACTGGCCAAGGCTGCTAGCTGTCCTCTTAGGAACTGAAAGGATTCAGTTTTCAGGCCATTCATTTTCTTCCCCTGTGGCAAAGCGTACAATGGTTCCTAGGTGTCCACAGGGGATTTGTTCCAGGATCCCGCTCAGATAGCTGAATCCACAGATGCTCAAGTCCCTTACAAAAGGCACAGTATTTGCATATAGATGATGCACATCCTCCTGTTTACTTTAAATCATCTCCAGATCACTTTTAATACCTAACACATAGTGAAAGCTCGGTCATTAGTTGTTATACTGTACTGTTATGGGAATAATGACAAGGTAAAAAAGTTGGTACATATTCAGTGCAGACACAAGTTTTTTTCTCTCAATTTTTTTTGATCTGCTATTAGCAGAATCTGCAGATGTGGAGATTCTGGACGGAGAAAAGGGGGAAAGGGGGATGGAGAGAAAGGGGAGAAAGGGGGCTGACTGCACACAACCTAAAATTGACCACGTAACCACTTCTAAAAGCACAGTTCAGTGGTGTTAAGTCCACCCTGGGATTGTGCAGTCCACCTCCCCTTGTTTTCATCTTCCCCAAGTGAAAGTCCACACCCATTAAATAATATCCTTTCTTTCTGAATCTTGGATCTCCTGGGCTGACACTTTTCTCAGCAACTGATATGGCTACGAACATCAGTCTTTATCCGATCCCCACTCCTTAATCCGGTGGGAGGAGCAAGGCGCTTACCTATTACACCTGGTCAGGGAAGCCCCCACCCCGGAGTCCCTTCTTTCCGGGATGTCAGAGGGCTCTTCAGGCTCATTCAGGGAGTTGCCTGTGCTGTCCAGGTCACTGGGTGTGGTTCGGTCGTTGTCCACATCCAGGTGTATCTGTTTTGGAGAGGACGGGCAAGGAGAGACGGAGTCCAGGGCTGAGTCCGAGTCTCCCTCATCTGAAAACTTCTCCGACCACTGGTTGACGATCCGCTGCATCCCCTTCACGTGGTAGAGGATGTCGTCCAGCTCGGGGAAGATGTCCTCATTCTCCAGGTCGGCCAGGTCGCCTGAGCTGGAATAGAGGATGGAGCCTGGCACGTTGTCGTAGATACTCAGGCGGCTGCTCATGGAGCTTGAGGAATTTCGTCTCTTAAGTTCCTTAGGGCTGTCATTGCTGTTTTCCCTCCTTAGGCTGATATGGCCAGGGCCATGGAAGCTTCCAGTCCTCCAGTTCACAGAGCTGTTATTTCCCGAAGGACAGAAGCTTCCATTGGAAAGGGCCTTGGGGAAGGTGCCAGGCTTGTGATCTTCAGGGATGTAGAATACTGTGTCCTCTGGGTAGCTCTCGCGGTTTTTAAAGTTCTGCTCCATCACGTTGTTAAATGTGGACTGATTGAAAGGATCAAAGCCCTCTAGATACATGCCCACCCGCTTGTTGCAGGCACTGAGGCTCCGTGTCCTGGTGACAGGGCTAGGTGTGCTGACAGCGCTGCTAGTTTCTGACTGGCTGCTGCTGCTGCTGGTCTGAGTGGAGTTGGATACGCTCCTCTTTCGTACCATGGGGACGTTGATGTGGTTGCCATTGAGGGCTGAGATCTCCACGCAGTTCAGCTGCTTCAGCTTCTCCTCATCCATACCCTCTTGCAGAATGGGCCCACTGATGATCAGCCCCAGCTTGGAGGGTGCCTTGTGTTTGCTGTGGTGGGAGCCCTTGAGCTTTAAGCTCTCCATCCGTTTCAGCAAGCTTCGGGTCTTAGACTTGGCATTTTTCTCATGCCCTTTCATGCTAAAACTGAAGCTGGATAGTTCCTTGGGAGAGGGAAGGCTGCAGAAAGAGTCGTCATTGCCTATAAAGTGGCTGGAGGAGCAGACACTAATGACGGAGTTAGTCCGGGGTGTCACAGCATCCCCACTCTGGGACACGTGGGTGGGGATGCTGCTGGTGCTGCTGAGGCTTCGGACAGAAGATACCTCCTGGCGCTCGCTGAGGTCCGTCAGCATACTTTCATGGCTCATGGCGTTCTTCAGGTGGGAATCATCTGGGGACCCAGAGACTGGGTCCTGTTTTGGAGAAAACACATCAAACTCTTCAAGCCGGGACCACCTCTTGCTGTCCCTCTGGAAAGTCCATTTGCCACTTATTGCACAAGGCTCATCTTCATCTGAATCCTCACTCTGCAAAGACATAATGAAGCCATTTATACACAGGGACCGTAAGGTAGCAGGGACCAGGACACATGCTATGGGCCAGGAGATTTTTCCAACGCCACCACTAATTGTTCCAAATTCCCCACTTCTTTCACATCATTTACTTTCTTTTTCTTTAAAAAGATATATTTAAAGAATGTAACAGGAGAAAGTCCGATCAAGTGTTGCCTGCTAAATAAGATTTTTTTGTTTTGGTACTAGGGATCGAACCCAGAGGCGCTTAACCACTGAGCCACATCCCCAGCCCCTTTTTATTTTGACACAGAGTCTTGCTAAATTAGTCAGGATCTTGTGAAGTTGCTGAGGCTGCTTTGAACTTGTGATCCTCCTGTCTCAGCTTCCTGAGTCACTGGGATCATAAGCATGTACTACTGATGCCGAGCTAAATAAGATTGATTTTTATGGAAACTTTGGATCTATCGGTTGTTTAATTGCTCACAAAGGAAACCTCTGAGATTGGTGAAAATTCTAGGCATGCAAAATATTTTGGACTGGAGTCGGCAATGGTAGGACTCCCTCGGGACCACCTCTAGTTTTGCTGTCTGTAGATAGCATATGTTTACGATCCTTTTGCAATGAAGAAAGCAGTCTCCCAACAGTTAAGAAGAGTGGCAACTTAGAAGATCCAGCCACCCTAAAAAAATTTTTGAATTCTCCTAAACTAATGGAGACCAGGTAAAGCGAGCCATCACGTGCCGGCCACTTCTTACCTGTTCCTTTTCTTCCCCTCCCCCCACCAGAGCTCACTCCAAAATTGTCCTGTGCAGTTTCAGCCCAGAGACCAGCTCCAGGCAATTTAACAAGGCTTCACAAATACCCAGTCCTGACAGCAGGGAACATCCGTAAACACAGAGTAACATCTCTGTTGGTGATGTCTGATTCCTGTGCAGGTCTCAAGAGATAGGCTGTCACAGACTGTTCCATCTTGGCCTTTGAGGCACAGTATCAAAAGGCAGAATTCTGCATGCTAGGTATCTCTGCCACAGGCATGGAAAATATCACCTGACCCAAGATTCGCAGGAAAGGGAGTAAAGAGCATTATGCGATGACTTGGAGACACAGCTCAGTGGGTGCTGAGGTTCTAGTTCATTTGTTTAAAAGGTCTAACTCCCCAAGAAGTCCACTTTTTGCAGGTCAGAGACTCTATGATAATTAACATTTGTACTCGGAACAATCAAAAGTATGTTCTTTGATCCAACTTATTCCTGTTTATTCTAATTTGTGACACTCACTCCCAGTATTACCTTTTCTCCTAAGATCTCCTAAAAGGGCCTCCCAACTCATTCGCAAAAGAAAATACCATTCAATTCAGTTATGTGCAACCATTGACTGAAATGTGTGGGATTTCCTGGCTTCTCTGTTTCCTCCCCCAATTCCTTTCCTCCCTCCAAATGTTTTATTATTCTTCAATATCCCCCGAACCAGCCTTTGTTTTTATCCTGACAGCTTTGAAATGTAGTTACTGTTGTATTCGGGAAGACAGAGGAATTCCCAAAGTGGGGTTAGCTTTATTTTCTCTAGGGAGTCACGCAAAAGTCCATTGGGATTCATTAAGTCTCATCTTTGTTATCACAGTAGGAATTGAGTTCATTAGGAAAGATAATAGATGATTTCTTCAGACAAAAACCCACCTATTCACAAATTTTTACAAAAATTCTAAAAAAAACCCCATCTATTAGCTGGTTACCACTACACACTCTTTGGTAAACTTGACTGGATGATAACATTAAACATGGAGATGCTTTTGGAATGAGAAAATATGAGAAACCAAACCTATTACAAAACACATAATCCAGTTTTAGGTTTGCCTGCTTGTTTCCCCCAAATCCTATTATATAATTTACATACTCACTCTCTTCCGATGAGGACTAATTTCTAGCTTCATCACCGCACATTTGTTTAAAGTATTTAGACGCCTATAGAGCAAAGAAATAACATTAGCAAAGAAAGGAAACCACTAATGGGTAGGTAAACATTTTTTTCTAAACAACTGACATATTTAGTGAGTTTCTATGAACTTAATAATATCAATAATTTATGTATTAGAAACTTCCCTAAAATGTGAATGGGTGAAATAAAAGCCTTTATATTTCTTAAGCTTTTCATTTAAATTAATTTTTTATGATTTTATAGTAAATTGTAAGTTAAATTTTTATGATTTTATAGTAAATTGGCACACCACAAGGGCACTGGCAGGTACCTCTAATTCTTCCTGGAATAAGCAATTCTCAATGAGAAAATGCATTTTTTTTTCAATAACTGGTAGGTTGAGTCATTAGGCAAATGCAATTAAGTTAGTTCAATGTCAAAAAATAAGAACCTGAAATGTCTCTTTTCATAGAAATAAGGACAGCAATGAGGAACCAACTAGAGCCGTCAGCAAACAAGTAAATTGTATATGACATCAAAACTTGAAGTAACACTAATTAAAAAAAAAAAAAAAAAAAAAACAGCAGAAAAATCAGTAGAATAGAGGGGGAGGGGAAGAATGGGGGAAGTACCAGGGACTGAGTTAGAGTAAATTATATTCTATGCTTTTATGTCTAAATGAATCCTAAGGTTATGTGTAACTAAAAAGAACCAATAAAAAGGGAAAACAATTTTAATTTAAAAATAAGCTTTAGTTATGTCTGACCAATAATCATCTCAGGCAACCTCTTTGTAATTTTATTTTTTTTTGTATAGAGAGAAAATTTTAGCCCTCTTTAATAACTTCCTGTTCAGGAGAGAATAATGTTTGGTATAGTGAAAGCAATAACACAAATTATTATTTTAAAAATTTGGATACTATAACCTGGAGGAAAGAGAGTGAGAAAGAGACATAGAAATAGATAGATTAGGGAAATAATTGAGTGTCATTAAAAATGAAATGCTTAAAACTCACAGAGAAATAACGAAATAGCTCAAAGAAGACATGCTTTCAATATGCCTGGCGAACTGGTCTGTGAAAGTGTGAGAGACAGCTCTCCAGGCCCCATTCTTCCTAACATCTTCCAGATGACCATCACTGAGTGTCCTCCGTGAACCTTCAATGTGCCTGTTTGCTGCCTCGTTAAGTAACACAAATCTCCTGACTGGTTTTCCAGTTTCTCCTAAAATTGCAATTCTTATGTTTTCATGGGATATCAGCACTTAATTTGCCCAAATTCAAACTGATCATGTACCCTCCTCAGGGCTTTATCTTCTTGATCCTGTTCTTGCAACTTGTCTGACAACTTTGATGCACCAGGATAGAAAGTATCTCTGCCTGCCTGATAAGCCTGCCTTTGATTTCCTAGATTATGTGGAAGCCTGTTTATAGAATAAACAGAGATAACACAGGGTACCTATGTTCAGAATATTCTGTCCATGGGAAGGGAAAGAAAACAAATAACCAAATAACAGAGGAAAAAGTCTGCAGATTTTAAAAACAAGGAGGTATATAAAGTCCCTCTCCAAGGGGCATCGATTACTTAAATTACTTAACCCACAGTGTTTCAGTGCTCAAATGTTTTCAAGATTTTAAGAATCCAGAATAGTTACAGTTAGTCTTAAGTCTGGGTTTCATTCATCAAACCTTCTTGACTTCATTTGAGCTTTAATGGTTGAGTGGTGTTTATAACCCAATTTACTAGGCATAGAGGCCTGTGGGGGGAGGAGGAGGGGTTTACTTCACCAATTCCAGATTGCAGTCATACAAAAAAGACCCAGGAGGCCAGTTTTATAAAGACCAACTTCACCTTTTTATGCTGGTAGCAACAAGCTAAAGGCATTGCAACCCTGAAGCCCAGAGTTATTCTCTGGGGTTTCTGGGGTTTTCATTTATCCCCTGGGATCTCCAAAGAATGCCCACTGGTGTGACCTTATTTACTTATAGATAGATGATACTGACATAAAACAGTCGTTCTAGCTAGAAAAGATAATCTGATCTCATGGAAGTAGAGAGTAGAACAGTGGTTACCAGAAGCTGGCAGGAGGAGAGGAGAAGAGGGGAATGGAGGGAGGTTTAGTATAAGGTACAAAAACAGGAAGAGAAAGTCCTGGTGTTCTGCAGCATGGCAGGGTGACTACAGCTAACACTAATTTATGGTGTATTTGTATATTTCAAAATAGCCAGATGGAAGGACTTTGAATGTTCCCAACACAAGAAACAATAAATGCCAAAGGTGACAGATATGCTAATTACCAGGATGTGATCATTTACATACTGTATAAATGTACTGCAATATCTAAAGTACCCCACAAATACGTATGATTATTATACGTCAATTAAAAATTAAAAAAAAAATCAAGCTAGCTAGATGCTCATTCCAGGTGAGGCACTATGCTCTGTATTTTGTAGCTATCATCTCATTTTTGTCTTCAGTATCCCTATGGTGTGGATATTATGATTTATCTTCATTTTATAAATGAGGACATGAGGGCTTGGAGAGGTCATGAATCTTGTCCAAGGCCACACAATTAAAACATGGTGGCTCTGGTATTCTATACAATATCTTCTGCATTCTTTTCTAAAACAAATATTAATGATGGTAATAATGGGAGCAACTTATATCCCAAGTAGGAGCCCTCAAATAAGTGGCTCAAACATCGATTATCCATAACTATCTGTCCAGAAGCCCTGGTCATCCCCACCCACCAGGTCCCTCACAGGGCTCAGCTCCACAGGAATGCATTGGTTTTATCTCCTGGACAACTTGTACCCTGCTCTGAACAGGGAGGGGGCTATCAGAGGTTCAAGAGCTTTGCTGCCCAGTGCTGCAGACACCCTGATAAAAGCGGAGCAGGCATGAATCTGGATGCAAAATAAAGACAGGGAAAAGTAGAAATAAAGAGAGAGAAAGCAAAGAACCCATTAGGAACTGAAAAATAAAACATGTTCCCATTCTTAAAAGATATTTTCTTGGAATTAGTACAACTGCTCTGAAAAAAATGAGTTGTTTCCATTTAAGCAGAACAGAAATGGTAACAAGGCTCAAATCAACTTTAAGGAAGTAGATGCTTGACACAATTTACGCACTTTCAGGGCTGTTTTAAAACAAAAGTGCATACTCAAGATGATAGTGTGGATATATATCTATTTTTCGTTCTACCATTTCCAGTTGGTGCTCACAATTCTTCAATGTTTTTATAGGAGGAATTAGTTTTCATTCCAAAGGAAAATAGCAATTTAGAAGGTTTTATGAAGCTATGGGCAGACAACATTACACACGAGGTATCCTGGTATTAGATCACATTTCGCAATATTATCTGTATATGCTTCAGCACAAGCTGATCACTCCTCCAAGTATTAACACTGAGTAGAAGAACTCCTTCATCATTATGGCCTTATCACTGAGGTCAGGTTATTCAGCGAAGTTAAAGCCTGGGACAAGAGCCAATCTCTTCAAGGAAACAAATAAATACCTAATAGTGATGCAAGACTGTTGGTGAGCACTCCAAACCCAAAATACCCTAGTAGTCCTACAACTGTAATTTTATATTTAGTTCTTTACCAAACTTTATAGTTGAGATAGTTTTAGCATTCTAAGACAAATAAACAAACAAAACAATCCCCCTCCCCAAACCCATTATATCTCCCAATCTTCTGCTCTGAGTAGGAAATTTTAAAAGGGAATAGCTCCTCCCAGTTTTTTGATCAAAGTAGTTAATGCCAAAGTAGTATGACCTGCTAATATTATAGGAATATGAATATTTTCAACAAAGTAGAATGCTAGTGCATTCTAAGGATTGTTTGTAATATCTGTGTCTAAAATAGGGTCCAATACAAGGAAGGAATCCTGGGGACAAGAAATCATGTAAGATTTTGTAAAGCTTTTAAACTGAATTTCTGCAACTGTAGTTCCATACATGTTTAAAATCACCTGTTCAGAATATTTCAACAGGGCAAGAGATGGATGTCTACAAAAAGTCTGTGGTTCCCTGGGAGAACTTCACAAACCACAAGGTGAAATTTTAAACCACAGTATAGCTTCATTATCTGTTGGCCCTGGAATTCCCCTTGCTGAGAAGGCATTTGGAATAGGCAGCTCCAGTGAATGAAGTAAATATCACATCATCAGTAAAACGAGTATCCCAACTATGCTATGCACAGCTCAGACCTTGAAATGCGTTATCTATGGAGGGTGCCTGAAATCCACCCTGTATGGCTCCCATCTTTTTCTTCTGACATCAAGAGGGAACCATTTCCATATAGTCTATTTATGTAACTATGGGGACAAGGGTCTGTGGGTTTTCCATTACAAGCAAATTGATGATGTTTCTGTTTTCTGAAAAATTTCTTTTTTAAAAATAAAATACAGTCCCCATACTTACTGCACTTCCTCAAATCTGGGTCTGATCATTTAATTTTTAAAGCACCTGACTTTCATTAGTGTATTTCCTTCTCTCTGCTAACCTGTGATACATTATTCTATGTTTAAGAGAAAACAGAAGCCCAACCAGAATATGAGGCAGAGTTTGAATACAGATTAAAGTCCAGTATCTTTAAGGCTTTTCTTTTTAGGAAAGATCCAGAAGAACAGATTTATTCTCTCCAATAGGAGGTGGCTTTCTGAGTGGTACTCAGAGCTAGTGTAAATCTTTCAAATAAAGGAAAGTTAAATTTCAAACTGATATTCCAACAACAACAGCAAAAATATTCGAGAGTTTAATCATGACTCTTTGGGCTGAAATGTTGCAGTGATATTTTTATGATCCACAAATTCCTAAACTGATGCTGCTGTTCCAAGGGCCCTCATCAAGTGGCTTAAAATGTGTGAAATGGATGATATTTCCTAAGATGCATCTTAGGAGTGACCTCATTCATATGCATTATCACCAGTGATGAGTTGAAAATAAATGAATTCTGCCCCGCAGCTAAGCATGAAAGCATTTTAAAAATGTCTGGAGTAGTTTATATTCCAGACACACACTTCTCCCCTCCCAAAACAGCATT